TGAAATTATGGGACGCATTAAAACAAAGGGCCAATTAGTATCCTATTATATATAAATAAAACAATTTATCGGTAGCTTATTACTGAGATGAGCTCACAAATATGCAAACGGTACGATTTAAAAATCAAAGGTTTGGATGAAGCGGACATGTCAATGAGCGTTAGTGATGTAATTAAAAGTATTACCACAAGCCCACTCATCATAATACGAAGCACTTATGACGATTCTGTTAATGATAACTCTAGGTATTACAAAGAAGCTAACCATCTAACGAAAAATATGTCGTGATAACTCTTTTTTTTGTAATAATTCTATTTTACTGAAAGCAATGATTTAAAAAGTGATTGGGTAAGAAATATCATGTTAAAATTACAAAGCCATTATTTGAATGGTTATATTAATTTCACTTTTTTGGGGAAATTCGAAACAGCCTTATGCACAAAAGAAATAGATAATAAAATACTAAAAGCCGAATTAGATGTCTAATCAGCACACATACAAAAAAAATAATAAATAGAAATATTATGAATACTGTATTTCAATCAAACATGTGACACAATATACAATGTGCACTAGTAGCACACAAATTCAAGGTTTATACTTGTATCATCCTCCATGAACTCATACCCAAATGTCGTAAATATCTGATAGAAAATTTTCATTTCATTTTAAATTATCGGTATATACATTAATATACATACCGGTATATTAATAAAATATTTAGAAAATGATATCGAAATATTTCCTTCTCATTATGACACTGGAATTGAAAAATTTTATATAAGGATTGATTTCCTTCCAAAATAGTAGATGCTTCTTATGTATTAGTGCTTGCTTGTCTATAGCCTTGTTCAGAGTGTAGGCATGAAAAAACAAAATAAAAATGACATTTATGACAAACTATGTTAAACAGTACAATATTACAATATTCCACTAATACAATATTGAATATATGTATTTATTATCGGCAACGCATGCAAGTTAGCTTGAAATTTAAAATGTGACTAAACAATTTTGAGTCCCAATTATGACAACATCTCACCACACTCCCAACATCCCAATTTTTTTTTTGCTCCATGTGACCAAATATTGTTTTGAAAATAAGGATACTATTACCAATCTGTATATTTTCATAAGTATTTATCAATGTCACTATTCCAAAATACGGTAATATTACAAACTACAATATCAAAGAACGATCTAGATGACAGCGTAACTAAGCTACCTCGTGCCGTGCCGTTATCAAAGTTCCTGATATCTGTGTGAACATTTTGTTTTGGTTCTAAACATTCACACACATTGTAGTTCTGTAGTTTGTTAAAAAATGGTTTAATATCAGTCATTAGTTTATTTTTACACATGGTGAAAATACACATTGTACAAACAGAATAAAGGAAAATAAAAAAAATGCATTTCAGTGTGAATTAAGACGCGATAAAACCTAGTAATCTCAGTTTATTTTAGTGAAGCTGAGATTTGAAACAATATTAGTACCTGTACTGGTTAGAATTCCACATAAACACTCACCAATAATCGGACAAGTAGTCATACATTAGAAACATAAGGAGTAAACAAATAGCTTCATGGGAAGCATTCGATGACTGAAGTTATGAATTCGGCACAGCACAAAAGGGCCCATTCAGCCATTGGGTATATTTTAGTGTCATCCCACCATCTAGTTCTATACAGTATGATTCCTGATGTGATCTACCACTTGAAATCATTGAAATATGACTTATTATCAGGACAATTCTCAATTTAATATTCTAAAAAATGATTGCTGAAGCGACAATTTTTTTTTTACGTGTTTGACGGATTAGATTGAAGGGATACCGGTATCACACTGAAGTCTGGAAGTTGAGTTAATGTTAATCCCAATAATTCATTATTATTTAATATGTCTGTTACATCAAAAATTATGCATTTCATCATTTACAGATTTATCCTATACGGTATCAATATAAACTTTGTGTCCAATCAGCTTCAGTATGATTATACTCCAACCTATTCTGTAGGCTATTACAGTACCGTACCAAGAAAACGTGTACTGGTACGGTAATTCAGTAATAGCAGTAACGGTATTATTTAAAGTAAAGAATTATTCTTGCCTCACCATGCCATGCCTTCTTGTCTTACCATGCTTTAGTGATCTGTGATATCACTAGCGGGAATTGAATATTATCAGATCCCTAATTATGCACATATAGGCCTAGGTAACAAAATCGGCGAGGTCTGTATGGTACGTAGGTTGTGAACGTACCTGTAACAACTTACACACGTCAGGGCGTACCGTACCGTCATGACCGTAAATATTTTAATGCTCGTCTGCACCGTACCGGTACCGATACATAACAACGTCGGCAACGTACAGCGAAACAATAACAGTACGACATTACTACAGCTTTCATATTAGCAACGGCCACGGCAGCCGCAACTAATCACGTCAAAACCACTCGATCATAGAAACAAGAGAAACGAAACAAAACAAAACAACAAACCACTTGTCAATATATCGGAGCGCAGCCCTCCGTTCCCAACCACGACGTCACAAACTCAACTGACGTCATAGCAACCAGTCAACTGAAATAGACTCGAATCAGGCAAATCGATAACTTTTTAATACCTTGTCGCCTATTTTCTTTCAGTCAGTCCCCACAACTCACACTTCCTGCTATCTACTCACTAAAAAATGTAATGCAGGGGTTATACGTCATATGTCAAGCATAAAAATTTAAAAAACAAAACTTTTTATGCTTTATTTTTGTAATATAATCCGTTTAAACGTCGAATATTATTGTTTACAAGTTTTTGATTCAATAATCTGGCAACTATATTTCTCAATGTAAAAACCAAGCCTCAAGTCAAATTAACTTCGTCACTGTTATGGTCCGGCTACAGGCAACAGAGAGAGAATTGATTGCAAACTAAAAAAACAAAAACATGCATATGAACAAAATTGGTACCGGTACTGTAGTAGCCGCCGCGAAGAAATCCTCTGGCTTCTAAATACATTTTGGCAGGAAAGGGGGATACAGGTTGTCAATGCCGGTAACGGCGGTACCGTACCGGTACGGTACCGTACCGTAGTATACTGGTACCGGTACTGTAACTTGTGGCAGTACGGTACCGGTACCGGTATGGTGAAATTGCAATTTTCATTGGCTGGCAGATACAGAGTTAGGCTAGTACGGTACCGGTACCCCCTGGCGTATCCGTGTTTTCTCTTCTTTTAGGATATCAGTACCGGTACTGTCTGAACTTGTGCTTAGTTCTGTTGCCTAGTTAAAGGTGAAACTTGAATAAACTGTTTTGGAAAAAAAGGGAATGACTTGCTGCACATTTTGGATTTTTAATCTTGTAGGGTACGGTAACTTTTAATTGAAATACGGTACTAACGTTAAGTCGTTAGACTACTAGCCTAGTCCAGTGGTTCTCAACCTTTTTTAAGCGACCCAAATTTTTTAAAAAATTGATTTTGCGGTCTTACTACTTACCGGTACTGAATACAGCGCGAAACACCGCAAAGAGCGCGAAACAACGCAAAACAGAGGGAAACAGCGCAAAACAGTGTGGAAACAGCGCGGCAGCAAATTAAAAACACAAACCAACATATGTAGCCAGTAATGTAATGGCAGGTCTGCCCCTGCTGGTGACACATTTTGGGTACCATAATTTAGAACATTTTCCATATGGATATGGTTGGCTTTAAGGTTAGGGTTAGTTAAAAAGGGACCTCCAGAAGTATGTGCACCAAAATGGCGCACAACCTGAAAATAGTATGTGTGTGTGTGTGTAGCGGATTCAGGTTGTGCGACATATTGCTGCACATACTTCTGGAGCACCAAAAAGGTAGATAAAAATTCGCATAATGACCTATAATCCGGTATATAACCTTGTAAATATGCCGGAAATAGCGCCATAAAACCATGGCGAGAGGCGCCGTGGTTCTTTCGTGGCAGGAGGTGGTAATGACTGCGTCTCCTGTTTTGCGCTGTTTTCCTCTGTTTTGCGCTCTTTGCGGTGTTTCGCGCTGTATTCAGTAAGTAGTAAGACCCTTGATTTTGTAGAATCTCGCGACCAAAAGATATTGGTACTTAACATTTTTTCTCCAGAGAATATTTTAAAGTGAGAAAACTGCATGTGTTTGCCATTAGCGAGTTTTTAAAATCGACGCGCAGACGCGTGGCTTTGCGGTTTACTGAAGCAAAATAAATGCTGACAAATTTTTATGCGGTAATATTCCTCACGCATGCAATTACTATTGAACAACAGACCAATACTAAATATGAAATTTACTATAAGATACAATTAGTAACTTTTAGTTTTTTATTAAAATAAGCAAGCGACTCAAAGAAAATCATTGTTCATCCTCTTACCCCATTATAAACTGCCCAAATATGCCTTAATTGAACCATTTATAGGTTTAACCTTAATGGGTATTGAAAAAAAATAAAATTAGTTTTTTCCAATTAATCAGAATTTTTCATATTACAACTCATACTGCAAACCTGTATTTTTATCTTTTCGCCCATTTTAATTTGCCAGATGTCAAGTACTTGTATCACTAGTACCTATATAGAATATTGCGAAAAGGCGATAGCCTATACAATATGTGTCAGTGTGTGGAGTTCATATTAAGATGAGTTTATTGCAAACTTGTGTCTTGTTCACTATTAACACAGTAATGTAATTATTTGGTTTAGTCTCATTGTTAATTTCGCTTCGACCATCTTGTGAACGGAATGACTTTTTGTTTTAAATACATTCTATACTGGTAATGCCATATTCTGTTTTCACTTTCAATACTATCACTTAATTTCATCGTCACACATTATCATACTTAGAAATTGGATTGGCCTTTCATTGTGTACCAATATGATATGAATATGATACATTAGTTTGCCATTACATTATATTTTTATCGTTCATCTTGGGAATGAATTATATTAAATTCTACTTTTTTGTAATTATTGATATTTTGTAGCATGAATATATGTGCTAACCCTATCTGCTTCAATTTAATAGTGAATTGTAAAAAATAACCGTTAAGACATCATGGCTGGTAGATCTGGAAGCTTCTCACCCGCTACTCCAAGTGAAACATCTTCTTCTGACAACAACAGCATTGAAAAGAGTAGGAAACCTGACAATACGGCTTTCAAACAGCAGCGTCTACCTGCTTGGCAACCGATTCTGACAGCACAGTCTGTTCTTCCTGCGTTTTTCGTAATATCAGTAATCTTCATTCCACTTGGTGTGGCCTTACTTCTCGCTTCAAATGAGGTCATGGAGTTTTCAACAGATTACACAAACTGTGGAAATAACGAGTGTGCTGAATTAAGGAACAATGCTTCAAAAATGACGATACCTTGTTCGTGCAATGTCACTCTAAATGTCACTAAACATATGCAAACAGAAGTGTATGTTTACTATGGCCTTACCAACTTCTTTCAAAATCATAGACGATATGTCAAATCTCGAGATGATGCACAGCTGAATGGCCAAAGTGTAGAAAATTCTCTCAGCAATGATTGTTCACCCTATAGGAATGTCAATAACACTTCTTCATCACCTCCAATTGCACCTTGTGGAGCTATTGCCAACAGTTTATTTAATGATACATTCAACTTTACCCTCGAAGGTGTGACTACTCCAGTGGGGATAAACCTCACAGGCATAGCCTGGCCCACAGACAAAGGTCAGAAGTTCAATAATCCAGGAGATCCAAATCTATCAATTTCACAACGCTTCAATGGCTATGCAAAACCTGACTTCTGGCAGAAAGCAGTATATGAGCTTGATACTAATAATCCATCCAATAATGGATTTGAAAATGAAGGCCTAATTGTATGGATGCGAACTGCAGCTTTCCCTACTTTCAGAAAACCCTATGGGCGAATTGTTGATGGATTACCAAAAGGAGTCTACACTATACAGGTCGATTACAATTTCCCAGTCCAGTCATTTGACGGCACAAAACGTATCATCGTAAGCACAACCAGTTGGATCGGAGGCAAGAATAATTTTCTGGGGATTGCCTACATTGTAGTAGGATCGTTGTGCTTCGCAGTCGGCATTGCTTTATGCATAGTTCATCAAATAACCAAGAAAACAACAACTGGACCTCGATGATCTGTAAACATCTACATGCACAAGCAAAATTTTATTTACTCTTGATTTACGTTTCATGCAACCAGCTTTACTACTAAGATTTTGACAATTACTTGATTGGTTGGCTCTGCATAATTGAGATAATTAATTTCTGATAGTAGGATATCTATTAAAATAATATTATGTCAAGATTTAAAGTTATATATATATTCAGTTTTGACATTGTCTTGTTTCCAAATTATTTGTCACCTATAGATGGCAGGTATGGTGAACCACTGGTCCGCAGTTTTATTTTTCAATGAACTGTTGTGTCACTGATTGTTGGCGTTGCAAAAAACATTCTAACATTCCAGTGATAAAATCATCAATGAAAATTTGTAATACGCTAACATAAATGAACAGTTATAAAATGCAGCTCATGAAAATAATGCTGTTTCGGCTGTAGGACACAGGAAGAAGGAAGTTCACCATCCCTGCTATATAGTGTAAAACTTTCTTATACATATTATCGGTTGAAAGAACTAACGTGTTTCCTGGGTCAGCAATAATACTTATTAAATGTGTTTTCATTTACTCTTTCCTGTTGTAAATAACTACGGTAAATGTAGTTGGTTTGCAACGGTCTTAACGATACTTATGATTTATATACATATATTTACTATGCTTCAATTTGTTTTGCTAATTATTCTTTAATTAAATGTTCACTGTCAGTTTGTTTGCTGTGCAATCTATGTCGCAGGGTTGCCATTTTCAAGTATATATGGAATTTCTTTTGTCTCAAATCCAAAATGATCAGAAATATATTAACATGACGTTATGTATTTGAGAATGGTAACTCTCTCCAGATGCTTTGTTTAATTTGGGTACTCCCGAAGTAAGTGTACCAGGTTAGGTGATAATTTTATTCAGATTTTTCTTATTTCTGTTCGATTACGAGTTCATGGACTTTCTGTGATAGCCAATTGGATATCCCCCTGCCCATAGGTTTCAGTCCCCTAACACAACCTGATGTAAAATGGACGAACAAAAATAGTTACCCCCATATTAGTACGCATACTGTGTGCCCAAATTTGTTTCCCTGTTGTTATCACGGCTGGGGTGCTGGCTTGAAATTGTAATGGCTCCTTCTGCAGCTCTGAAGCCACATTATGTTCAAACTCCTGAATCTCTTTTGTCCTAAATCCAAAATGCTCAGAAATATAGTAACATGGCGAGTTTTGCCTTTAGAAATGATAACCCTTTCCAGATGCATTGTTTAATTTTTGACACAAGTTTGTTTGCTTGTTGTTATCACGGCTGGCTTGAAATTGTAAGACCTTGCAGTTGCACTCCCGCCCCATAGTCATTTGTGTTTTTGGTATGGCCACTCCTGGAACACTAATCCCAAATAACACTTTCATGTCAGCTCAAGACCATGATATAAGTTTCAAAAAACCTAAAGCTTTTTTAAATAATTGGATATTGAAAAAATACAAGCTGGATAGGGATTTTATTTGTGTGATGTATGAAAAATTAGAGAGATCCACTAAAATGTCTAGTAGCTTCAGCTCCTCAGCCCTGCTACATACTCGTGCGGTTTCCGAACAATTTTCTGCTAGAATGTTGACAAAACTGAAGCAAATTCGCCATTCCAGTGAAAGCTCTGCAAACTTTTTTATTAGTCTTATAATTTTTTTCGTAATATATATATAGCGTGTGTAACATTATCGTAGAAAGCATAGTGCTTTGTTTTTGATAAAATTTATGTGCACCTTTTATCAGGATTGTGCTTTGTTACCAAGTTCAGCTGAAGATCGGGAAAAAAAACATGGTGGTCAGCTCTCACGTACCTATTCATCCACTCCAGTGTCCATCCTGGAATGATCTTTGTGATACATATTCCTGCCTAGTCCACAAATAAATATTTTCCTAAATGTAGCGCTATGATAGTCAGTAATTAAGGTGGAACAAAACAGCTCAATCTCTGAATTATTATCTGAAAAGATAGCCTTATCCAGTCTTGCATGTAGTCCAGCAAACCAGGTCCATCTATCATAGGATTAGATTTTGTGAACCCACTCATAATTTTAAGCAATGCGATGTTGTCTTGTACCCAGCACAATGCTACAATAAATTTGTATTTCCGAAATTAATACACATTTTTAAGCACACATTTTAATTAACGAATTATGACAACACCATTAATAAAATGAAAGCATGGACAAGAACGAATTTATCAAGGAAGGATACTTACGGTATGCATATTACAGTAATAATATAATTGAAAGAATGTTAAAATTTAAGCAATAGAATCTCAAACTATCGATTTTGGATTTACCATGAGAGTCATGGTTTATAATTTATATGAACATGGGTCGGTAAGTTAATTTTTTAACTTGAATTCAGAAGTAGGGATATTTTGGTCAACCACAAGTTTTAGGTCATTTATTTTATGAAAAGCTAGAGTGTTATGGAAAGTTTCAAACTCCTTGCCGCAATAACAGCAAGAAAACCAAGATAAAGTTTCGATACATACATGATACAGAAATAGTTCATAAACTAATTTTTTCTGACGATTTAATTCCCTATTCAATCCGATATTTAAGTTCAATTTTTAGGCTATCATAGTCTACACCTGTTACTCGAGGCTTGCCTTTGTAGTAGGTGTTCCAATTTATATTGATTGCGCTGCAGCGTCATTGTGCTTTAGCATAGCACGGTTACATATATATCAAGAGTCTAGGACTCTAGACTAATTTCAAGAATTTGGATAAATTGAAATAGTGATGAAAACAGGTTCAGACAGAGATCAAAAATGTTGCTGCAAATTGTCCATCAGATGTCGTGAAAAAAACACAAGTGTAGTGCTATTCAACATAATTATATTTCTATTCCAAAACGAAGTCGATAAAATGGATGGGATGTTCATAATTTTTTGTTCTCATGCACCATGATTAAAGTGGTTATTTATAGAATTAAAAACCGTGATAAAACCCAGGTAAATCAGGCAAATTTTCTATAAAGCTTGTTCAATTGTTCTAAAAATATAAATGTAAGCACAGTGTGTGGGCCAAGTCGAAAATAATAGGGTGTAAAACCCTTCCATAAACTGAAAATTCCTTCTGATCGTACAGTCCTTGTGAGAACATTCTGAAATATAAAAACATGTCGAATTTGTAAAGATTTTGACGATCTTAACAATTTCCTGCACAAAATATTAAAGCCTTTGCCACAAATGTATATTAACTAATTCAAAAATACATCTAGATCTCTGATATAATTATGTATGTATAAATTTATAATCTTGAGAAACAGACTTGGCTGACTACTTGAAACATATGGTGGGTCCCAGCAGCAAATAGAGCCAATTTTCCTTTTTGGACATAGTTTAGTTTAAAACATTCCAAGTTTGAGAATATAAAATTACATTACTTTTTCTCAAGTATTATTAAATAGAGGGTTATTATTAATAATTACTATTATTATTAAATAGGGTCCCAGCAGCAAATAGAGCCAATTTTCCTTTTTGTACATAGTTTAGTTTAAAACATTCCAAGTTTGAGAATATGAAATTACATTACTCAGTTTTCGCTTATGCTGCCCTGAATTGCATGACTTTTTCTCTAGTATTAATGAACTAGTTACATTACATCCCATTGAAAAGTGAACAAAAAGGCATGTCATGTGAATAGCTGCTGCAGTTAACATATGCTACTCTGCCATTGTTAGCAGTGTTCTAAGTTAACACATCAAGACCGACTGAATAGGATGAAAAAAAGCTTACGCCAGGTCAATGAAACTATGCACTGGTAAACATAATAGTAGTGCATATTTGTCTATATTATAGCTTACACTTAGTTACAGATTCAAGTTATTTAGATACTAAAATACCACTTACAATGGCACCAGTATATTCAGGTTTTCCATCTATGGTCTTCATACTTTGTATTCTAGAGGTGAAAAAAAATATTATCAGAGTCATATAGAAAATATTCCTACTTGGAGAACCTATAACATAAGTGTGCCATGAAACTTTGCAAATTTCTTTGATGGTAACGAAAAGCATGTGAGTGAAGTTCAATGTTGGGGAGTCATGGGTTTGGCTTTTTTAATGATACTGTATTCCTTTTAACTACATGCAATCAGGGGTGTCGGAGTCGAATATGAATTCTTTAAAATCGCAGCGGTTTGAAGAAATAATCGAGGTAAAAATTTTTAATAAAAGCATGAGTTGATTAATCATTCTCAACAAACAATGGAAAAATGAACGCATATACACCTTAGTTTTTGTGATCAAACTGAAGTCTGCGTCTTCTTCAATCCGTTATCAAAATTTTTTGTCAACCAAGAGTAGGGGCCAAAGTAGATTTTAGAATGGCTCGGCTCAGAGTTTGGGTTCCAAATTCACAGCTATGCTAGAACCACCAGAACACATAAAAAACACTAACCTTGTTTTGGCAATATCGACAGGCATTGATGCGATTGTTGTAACAAGACCACTGATCATACTTGCAACAAAATGACACAAAATATTATCTCGGAAATGACCTGCAAAATAACAGTAAAAATGAAAGAAAGCAATCTTAAATTTGGGATAATTTGTGTTGAAGAATATGAACAAGGTCAGGATAACTCAAGTAATACAACATGAAATAAAACTTGTGTATTGGCTAAAATTTTAGAAGTCAAAAAAATGTCATAAAATGTAAGAATAACACTGATCACATTGTAAAGCTTCATTTAGAGTTTTCAATCTGGTCTTTCAGGAATATTGTGCCCTGAGGCAAAGACTTAATTATATTCATTAAATTTAATTCAACCAGAATATTAGTTCAGCGAATAGAATTTGTAGAAACAAATCTTGAGATGAAACCTCGTCCAAATGTCAGTGATAAAAGATATCCCAAAAATAATGACATTCACAAAAATACATTTTAAAGACTCAAGAGAATTTGAATTGATGCCTTTACTGCGAAATTCACCATTTTTAACAGTGTAAAATGGGCCCAAAAAAAACATTGAAATTTATTGTAACACAGGTTTAGAATGACGGCAGGGCAGAGCAGTCGGCGTTTGACATGTTTTCACTGGATCACAAATTTTCACAGGGTTTAGGAACTTGTACCCGATACTGCTGTCAAGTCAAATTATCAAACTTACCAGAACCTAGAAGAACCTGTTTTGCTTGAGAATATGAAGCTAATTGTGCAGCATTGACAACAATAGCTCTTGATACAGTCGGTCCACATCCCTGTATACATAATTTGAATCACTAATTATATGGATCCTTGAATGCTAATTGTGAAAGTATGTTGATGACCTTAATTAATAAAATCCTTTATAATAATAGAAGCAATTTTAGGTGATTATCAATCAACCTGTATGTGATCAGTTATAAGAAAAATATCATTAAAATCGATAATAACATTAGGAATTAACTGTTGTATCAGGTTGATACCGCAAGGATATCATGCTCACCCTCCACAAAGTAAAAAGGCCTTCTTCTCTTATAATTCTGGATAATGCATTAAAAACACTAGTGTATCCCCTCTGTTCATTAATCGGTAACCTTCCATCCGAAGTCATTCTGATCAATGATATCTCAGCAGGTGTGCCAACAAACGCTCCAATTGCCCCAGCTGTCATTCCTGGACAAAGTCGATTAACGTATTGTAACATATTATAAACTACATTGGTGCAGCAACTGTTTCAATATTTTAATAATAGCTAGAATAAACTTCAGAATATTATGAAAATTATTTAAAATCATAAAGTTGCAATCGTGTTTTCAGTCAAATCTTCAATACCATTTACAAAGACAAAATTTACATTTGTAATAGTGATGACATATGAATGAACTTTAATTTTAACCAAGAACTTGCATTGGGTATTGGTATGCAAGTACATTTGTAGACAAATCATACATCTGCTTGTATTTTTTGTTCATTGAGAAGTTGTAAGAATGACGAGTTACAACAAAAACTGCAGAGGAAGCATTGTCCAAAAAATATAAACGAAATCACTTCTGGTTATAGAAGATGTAATGGTTCATAACAAAGCCCTAAGTGTGCAAGGGCATTTATTTAAAAATATCTCTTTGATGTATATAAAGTAATACATACTAATACATACCAAGTACCTAAAGGCGACATTTAACAAGAGAGGAAAATCTTCAAACAAAGGGAATATTTTTATACCTAGTGCTGCTTTGGTAAAAAAGTTAGGCGGAGTTCCATCTTTCTTCGAAACTTTATCCATCAGCATTGTATAAACACCCAACCTTGTTGTAGTATATGTAGCTTGTCTCAACAAGCCAGCAGATAACCTGCCATAGACATCAATATTTATAAAGAGAATGTACCGGTAATATTAAAGATTACATATTTATTATTAACTGCAACAAATAAGACTTATCCTCTCTAAATACCTATTCTAGACTCTCTATCATACCCAGTGTATATTCCAACCACACCTTCACTTCTTAATATTGTAGAGATTGCTTGGAAGCTGTTCTTATACATTCTTTGACCTCCACCCTCACCACTCAGTTGCATGCGATTCTTCACAAGATCCAAAGGTTGAACAAACAAAGTTGCAGCCATTCTGTGAGATGTAAATACTTAAAACTCGTATATCAACCAGTGTATTGAAAGGATTGCCCATTTTCATGCCATTGACAAAAAAATTGTCAAGTAAAAAAACTTCTATATAACTGCAATAGTCAGTTAATACAGTAGTACTTGAAGTAATCATGATGTTGGTAAGGCAGTAAGGACTGTAAGTTCATTTGCATTTGTAGAAAATATGCCTTGTGAGTTTATTCATTATTGATTGAGTATATAAGTATAAGTTTATTTCAACTCCATAATCAGCATAACAATAAAATGATTGATAAAAACAAAAAACTGATTATGAACTCAGGAGAGCAAACAAAACCTTAGATAAGGTTTGAAACGAACAGAATATAAGATGGAAGGTGTTGCCAAAAAGAAGTGGTACATGCTAACTCACCTAAAAAAATTATTAAATTATATCACACATGCACCCACCACACACACACAACCACAGAGAAATTACCTAAAAAAACATGATAAGCTTATGATAAATTACATAGTAAACAAAAATAATAAAAAAAGGGAAAAATATTTGCCACACCATCTAATTTAGTAATAGATGAATCGATAATCTAGTAATAGTTGCCACTGCCAAATCGATCAATTTTCTAATCGGGAGTGAACAGTAAAAATAAAGTTCTATTGAAAACATATTGCCAAGCTGATTATAGATGGAGTTAAATCCCAAATTGCCCTACTGACTGTAGATACTGAGATATATCTTACAATAAGACTCCCAATTTCACCAATACCAGAATACTGCAATATGAAACAAGTCGGGAAATAAAGCAGACTAGAATGATTGCATATTCTAAATGCTGCATTACAAGTACTGAAGTACATGGTACTGCATACATCTGTACATACACAGACATTCAAATAAATACTGAAATAATGAAATAAAGCTTACCCTGATGTACCACCGAATAAGAACTTGAATCCATTAGGAATAACTTGTTGATTCGTTGAAGCCATGCTGCAGCATAAAGTGGTTTAACTTGCTAGCGGCAGTTGTCTAATAATGACAAGAGACAAAAAGTACGGAAATATCTGAATACGCAGACTGCTCTATCAAGATCAAGGGCGACAACGCTAACCTTCCGCGTAAATCCAAAATCGAAGATGAACCAGAGTCGCAATACGTCACTACGTAGAAAAGAGCGAGATTAATTCACAAAAAGATTTAACAACTGCGCTCCATATGTTTCGCCAGAATAAAATAAATCGCTTATCATCATTACGCTGCGTGACCTTCGAAAATCGATTACCGTATGTTACTTTCTAATCTAATACAGTATATAATGGGCCGATCAGCAATTCTTAGCACCGTACGAGAACATCGACTTCGTTGGATTTGAGAAAGAGAGGTATGTTTAGAATATTATGGCAACAAGACATAAACTTTCGTGAACGAAATTGTAACAAGAAAATAGAAAATCTGCGACGGAAACCACCCTTAAAAAGGGCCGGGATAAGTGTTGGTTAGGAATAGGATAAAATTTACATATTTATCCCGGGGAGAGGACAGCCTATAAGAAGGCGTAATCATATGACGAAAACTACGGCCTCTCGTCCGTTACCAGTTCATGTCGGGTATGGGATTACTTATCCAGTTATTATTTTCAGATGCACGTACTTAGAAATGGACCTTTCCCCGACCTTTAACCCCCGAAAAATTCTTCCAATACTTTACCATTGCAAAATTTTCGGGGGTATTTTAAGAGTGCCTTTGCGAGTTGGCGCCTGTAAACTGGAGTATGTGTTTCAAACCATCATTATGATTCATTGCATACAACAATATGTTTTTTAAAAGTACCAGTAAAGAATTTTAGCTTAGTCTATCACAGCTATAACTCCTAGGAAGACAGAGTGATCATTAAATTATCTGATTTATATTTAAGTTTCCGAAACACAACAGAAAACTAACGAATATAGTTCAAAAACGCGAAAACGAGGTAATGTTTACGACCACGCTTGAAAATCTGTCTGAGTGAGAAAAGTGTCTGAGCGGATGCGAAAAGGGAGGTTTGTTACGTCACTTTTTGCATCTTGCTGATTGGCCAATGTCACGAAATAAACAAGGAAGTCGATGCTCGGGGAAAGGTTCATAGGAATACAGGAAGCCCTTACGTGAATCACCATGGGCTCTGGTACGACGGCAAGGAGTCCAGCAATCCTCTCGAACACAATCAATTATTATCCCCAACCGGGTTCGAAACCACTAACAGAGAAAGGGTAATCGGAGGTTTGGGGCGAGCGTATTCCTAAAGCTTAGAACGATGCGCCACACCACCGAGCTAAGGTTAATTCAGTATTCCATTTCTTTTTCAGTCGTGAGCTCAGATAAATAAAGACCAACAAGCTTAGTAATATAAATTGTAAATATACGATAACGATTTTAATATAAAATTCAGCTAAGTAATATTCAACTTGAATGAATGCTGATAATATTCAAATCATTGGAAAGCGTCGCATTTCGAAACAGCTTCCGTTAAGATGTTAAATTGACGTATTATACATATATATAACAATTATTGGCATAGCAATATAGTTGTCCTCTCTCTCACCGAACTTGTGAAAAATGGACTCCCTCCATTAACGAAAGAAATAATTTGTATTGACGTTAAATTAATGAGAAAACATTCATGACCCTACTGCATGGCCGGGGCATTTGTGTCTACCGGGCGGGACAAAATCGGGATTGCCCAGACTAAATCGTGGCGCATGGTATGCCCAGATATACACTAACCAAAACTTCCATAAACTGTTTGAATATTTCAAGAATCTAATATATTTTGCAATTTTTGAAGACCACACTTATCCAAAAATCCGAATTTACCGCCGGAGTTTCACGAATACACACGAGAAGAGTAGGAGCTCAGCTATTCATCACAACGATTACTGAAAACGACCTCGCTACAGATTTCCCTCCAACAAATTATTTTACAATTTTAATCTTAGTAATAATTTTCTTGATTTATCAAAATGAAATTTGTACAAGTAAGAAAACTGTACACAGTACACCACACACAGATAGAAATAAAGGGAGAGAGATCTTTCAATCAAATGCAGAATTAGGAAAGTGTGTACTCAAGTAGCGATACAATATAATCCATAGAAAAGAAGTTCCAAAATGAGAAAACACAAAATGTCACAAGTAATTTTTACTAATTGCAGTTCAGATTGGCCAGAATTGTGAAGAGGTAACATACAGTTAAGTGGACATGGCGATAATGCAATGGTAAGATTACCTAAAATACATTCCTTAAAAAATACGCTTGTCACCTTTTTAAACTGTGAGATGGGGAATGCCGAGACTTCTTTTTCCTACGAGAATCACGATCTGATCTGTGTTTGTGACTTTTTCTAGATGAAGGACTGTCCCCATTTACATGGTTAAGTGGCAGGGTATTAGGTGAAACATCACCAGTAGAAAGCTTTCTTTTGTGCTTTTTGTTTGCACTATCTTGGCGACGACTACGAGAACTGTCTCTGCTTTTATGTCCATCTCTTTCATCATGTCTCGGTTTGGAATGCCTGGATTTTCCTTCTTTTCTTCGCCTCCTCCTTCGTCTCTCTTCTTCTGAAAGCCTATTGCTATTCTGATGAGAATATGATTTTGGTAACATATCAGAGGAACGACCCTTATTCCGCCCCTCACGTCTTTCAGGCGAACTGTAATAATATAAATACATTGAGATAAATACCAGACAATACACAATCTCAAGTTAAATTATTTGCTGTACCTATCTCCAGAAGATGAACTGGTACTAGAAGATTGCTTCCGAAGTTTACTGGAGCGATTAGTTGACGCAGATCTAGTACGAGACCTTTTAATTCCCGAATCATGACTCCTTCGTATCCTGCTGCTGGGGGAAAAGAAAAATTACAAAAAAAAGAATGAAACAACAACATAAGATAATGCAACCAACAATAATTTACTTACTCATCTCTATTTCTTTTCTTATCTCCATTTGCCAATACTGAATTACTTTGTTCACGATTAGTTGGAACTGTAGAAGATCGACCACTCTGTTGTTTTGAGTCCTTGGGAGTATCTGGGAAAGCAATTAGAGATTATACATCATTTAACAGAAAAATTAATGATTATGCTACTGCTACTATTATAACATGAAAATGATCGACTTGATTCAATATACTCAAAAAAACTCAATGCCAATGTGTAGTTATAAATATCTTTTAAAACTTATTACAATATAAATATTATTAATAATCTAGGACAAAATCCTTCACTTAAAAGTTGGTGTTCCAATGCTGATAAAACACTGTTAAGAAGAACCTAATTCCAATAAAAAATATAATTTTTGATACTTGGTACAAAAACTTGGGTTTTTTAATGGATGATAAGATAATTGGTGAACATACTTGTGGCAGGGCTGGAGGGCCTTGAAGCTGGTGAGTTCGCTGCAGATTTGTTGACCCCTTCACCATATATGGCATCTTTTACTTTTTGTTTTTCCTTTTGCAAAACCTCTCTGCAGTCCTCAACCTTTTTCTCTAATACTTCATATGGTGTCTAAGAAAAGAAAAATTAAAACAAACACGATAGGCACTTTACAGGAACCTGTACAAAAATATATAAAATACTAATTTCAGAGATATCTTCCTTACTTTCATAGTCTGATATACGCATAGCAGTGTAACACAAATTTTCTGAATGTCCTCTTCAGTAGCATTGAATAAGTAAAACCAATGTGTTTTATTTGGAAGTGGAATCTAAGAAACAACGACAGAAAATAAACGATTAGGAAAAAATAATTCAGAATATATTATCCCCAAAATCAAATTCTATTACTGTTTATGAACATTAGACCATAGCTTGAAGTGAAAATTAATGAAGAAATTTGATATTGTTTATATATACCAATCGAAGCATCGATATTTTCAAACAGAAATAGACTAATATTTCCAATAACAAGCAATGTTCTTTCACATCAAATATTACCATATAATAATAACATTTTTACGTAAAATACTCCTTTCCAATGTTAAACGAAAACTGCTATTTATTACGATATTGAATGGGTTCAGATAATTAAAAAATTTAATGACCTGTAAGACACGGGCAGCCAGGTATATACAAGCACAAGCGATTGTTTCAGGATTATATTGCACAAATACTGTTGTTTGTAGAGAGTCATTCATGTAGTTCCTGTAAAACAAATTCAGAACACACATATAACCTAAAATATATGAAAACCACCACCTGTATTTTCCATTCATCTCAATCCAATGATAATATAATATTTCATTTGTCATACTGGTTTCACTGAGAACTCCTGCAATATAATTAGCAATAATATGACAATAATTCCATAACAAAATATTATATCTCCGCAATATGAATCACATCACTGATCAACATGTCTTGACTTATTTTTGACATGTCTCGACTTATTTCCTCAGTGTTGCAAAATATAAATTTCATTTGTCCTTGATCTCTCCATCGCCACTGTTTGTCATTGAAACTTCTACTGCATAGCATGGCCATCTGAAGATCACTATATCAAGCAGTAAGGACATTGATATATTGTATTTTTTGTATTCATCATCCAAGTCGATATCCAACTTTTGAGTCAAGTCAATCTATCAGTCAAATATATTTCCAACTTGTAGACTTCCACCTCTAATAAGTTTGATAGAAAATGCAAGCATTTGAATATGATTGTAGAACACCTTGGAAACTGAAGGCCTGAAAAACTACTAGAAGCAAGGAGTAAACATGTTAAAATTCAGTCAATGCTTAAATTAGGCAAATTCAGAATACACCATTTTGCAATATACAAGTTCAAATACAACAAATGCAAAGAAAAAACTGCAAGGAAAGAAAGTGAGACCACCAATTGACAGGCAAGTAGTTTTCCTCTCTCTCAACCTGAGTTTGGTTTGGCAGTTTTCGACATCTCTCGACGAAATTTCACCCGACGTAATAGAGACATTTTCTCGGGGTAGTTGTCCATCGGATCAGTTCGTAATCATGTCATGTGCCGACTACTTCACCAGGTGAGAGAAAGGCAGAATCGGCAAATAATAAATAAACAAACAAAGTTATGCACTGAAATAGATTGTTTATACCTACGTATATATTATATTATCACAAATGTAGAAAAACAAATGCTGAGTCTCAGTTAAACCAGCATGACAAATGGCTTGCGAAAGAAAAAAAATCGTAATCATTGGATGAGGTTACAGAGTTCTTAAATTAATACAACAGAACATTATATTCACTTGAAATGATCTGTTGAACATAAATAAACATAAACAATTGATTGTTAAGAATTGAACTTCTTCGCTATAGAAAATTGAATTTTATACCTGCAATTTTTGCCAGTAGTCAAATGAACAACCTCTATTACCTTACATAAAAATGCAGCAAAACAGACTGAACACTAAAATAGTATTTTCATAGTTAGGGAATACAATGTTATTGTTAACCTCAATGGACAACACTCAACCAATACTGTAAGAAGCATGGCCAGTGAAATGTTACATATCATATCCTGTGAAATTATTTTAAGCATCCAAGGGAGGTCAGGGTCCACTATGTTGTTAGATAGAAAATCAACTTACCAGGCAGTTTGAACAAGTTCCCTGTTTTTCTCCAATTCCAGAACTTGCAGATAAACCACAATTATCTGCAAGGCACAATACAAGTTTAAAGTAAAAGCTTCGACACATAGTTGGAAGGGCCTAATAATTACCAATGGCTACATAATGTGCTCTATTTGAAAAAAAAAAAATTCCTCGAACTAACATTTAGATTTATATGAAAAAACCTAGGATTATGTTATGTAATGAATGCCAAAAAAACATTAGAAAAACAAATTACTTTCGCTCTAGTCAATATATAGACCGATAATATTTACTATTTCAAAAAAATTTGAAACCTCGTGCTATTATTATTCCACCTAGTGAATAGATCGCTTTTATTAAAATTTACTACTTCAGATGTCCCTCATCACTTCTTTATCTCATGTTGATTACTTATAAAGTTGAGAAAATGAATACTTTCGGTCAATTATTCTATCCAAATATCAATAACAATCATTCTAATGTAATGCTGTTTTGCAATTCAACCATAGACTTCCAGATGTATTAGAATTCAAAATTTCAAATAAAAAAATGCAATATCATAATCAAACAGTAACTAGATGCATCAATGTCCTTTTTTAATAAATATATTTATATAATAAACTTAAATTTCTGAAGAAACATAATCAGTAAAAAGTATGAGAGCATGTAAGCAATGGGAAGTACAGAAGAGTACAGAAATATGAATCTATTAGGGAAACATAGATTGCGGCAATAACGTAACTATTATACATCAGCATGACCGGGTTAAACTAAAATTAATTCAACCCACCTTATGCGGATGTTTAACATGTACACAAAACCCAAGTTCCTTGAGAACCCTTCGTTCAGCTTTGATTACATTATTTTTCAAATTAACATAATCTTGGTCCAAAACCATTGGAGTTGCCGGTGATTTATTTCTGAAAAAGAGTGGTTAGATATTAGGATATTGTAAAAAAGACAGTACATACATAATTTAATAACCAGGCACAGAGACAATCTAATGAAAATGTATCATGATGACAAAGACAAAGTTTCCATGTTATAATCTTATCAAAACACAGAGACTTAAAAAGGCAATACCCTCTCAAGCTACAGGAGTGGTGACTCCTCTACGGCCCATGGGCCGGGGCCACGGTTCATCTCATCTTATTGGGCTACATGGGCCGTGGCCCATCAAGCTATGGGTCACGGCCCCATCAGGAAAAATTCAATTATCTTACCAAAATTTTCAATTTTTACCAAATTGCCAATATTCGAATCAGAAAAAGATACTCCTGTAGTATGTGTACCAGGTTAGGGTTAGGACAAAAAAATTCAGATTTTCTTACATTATAGTTCTATTATGAGTTTGGGGACTGTCTGTGTTAGCCAAGTGAATAGCCTAGTCCCTAAACACAATTCAATGGGCCGTGGCCCCGGCCCATGGGCGGCAGAAAAGTCACCACTTCCACTCCTCTCAAGGGGCCCCAAACGAGACATTGTGGGTTGCTCCACAAACAACTAGAAAGCTATAATTAGCTCTATTCAGTACAAACATACCATACATACAATAGAACAGAATACCTTTCTTCACATATCTAAATATTATGGGGTTTTTATTTAGCTTCACCATAATAGGCATCCCAAAACTATACAACTATATAATTTTATTGAAATCAGTATAGAAATTTTAATATTCATATTTCCAGTATCCCAAGAGAAAGGTTGATTTTCAAATACATGTTCCGTTTTTACCTAATTATTATTCATTTGGATTGTAGCAAAATATACAACAAACTCTTCAAGACTCTTTTAAAAAAAATCTTAACAAGGTGAACATCATTAGTCTTGAGCACAAACCTTTGGAGTCTCAAATAATGAAAAACATTTATTACATCTCGAACTCGTCTTGGACACTCTTCCACTTTTGATGCCAACCAAATGCATGCCATTGCTATCTCTTCCATTTTATGTTTAACAAATGATTTGGCAAAGAAAAATCTTTGAAATAAAACTTGCGCACTGGCCATTGCAACCTAAATGGAAACAACAACGAAGTTGAATATGCATTATTAATGAATAAATTCAAAGTCAGAAAGCTGTGTAAGGCAACTGTGTGTTTGAAACACGAAACAAAAGAAAACATAAAACATTACAGATGAAACTAAAAAGTTTTATAAACCTGTGGCACTTTCAGCATTATTCCTGCTATTTGAATAAATTCGCATCCTATTCGTCTTAGATCATTTTCAGTAGACTTATCCAAACCATCTTTTTGAGAAGGAGTTTCATCTATTGCATCTTGAGGAAATAAACAATTTTCCAATGCAATTCGAACTCCAGCATATTCTATCTCATTTGTATTTCCAGTTACCAATTGGTCAGATAGCTGTAAAGCCATGACGAACTAAATTTATTCAAATATGATATACAGTATCTGTATCAAAAATGCAATTTCTTATTTCAGTAATTATTCCAGCCTTAACAGCCACAAGTTAAATGGGTATGAATATCAGAATATACTGATAAAAGGAACAAATGACTGAATGACCAAGATACATGTACTGATTCAAGGGGTGTTTTGACCTTTATTCGGAGTAAACGGTGTGTAAGCGAATACAAACAAATTGCATGAGCAAGTAGATATCGAGTCTGACAGACGTTTCGGCCCACGCAAGCTCGAGGACGGAGATACGTTTATTACGGTACCGGTATATGCTAGGTTCAATTACTGTGATTGAATATTTCGATAACGAAAGTTGAATATTTCTTTAATTAATATTGGAAGTGGATGTCTCACTCAAAAAAGTTCTATGCAGTACAGCAGTACCGCAAATAACAAAACATATTCTTTGATTTTTTATCATGTATCGCAACGTATGTCTACATCTATCTAGGCCTATGCAGTGGTGGGATTCAAATTTTTTGTCAGCCGGTTCCATCACAAAAGACATATTTTTCAGCCATCATCATGTCAGCGATACCGTACCGTACCTTGTTTTCTGAGTTGGAAAGTAAGTTAGGCTAGATGACGTCAAACAAACATAATAAAAAGTAATTAGATTATATCATCATACAGTAGGGCACTCTATTCCAAAAATGTCCCGTCATTTGGTTGAATGAAACAAACAATACATCTGTCTCGCAAACGAGGGGCGTCTGGCACGAAAATAGGCCAACTTAATCATGGCGAACCAATCAAAAGATAAAAACTGGCACTGAAACTCATGGCAGTTGCCAATATTTCATACAACGTTTAAACAATTAACAATAAGACACACTGAACTGAACAATGAGTTCTGCTAGAAAAACTGAAATACTAAAATTTGTATTATCGTAAAAGTACCGGTGCCGAAATGGCGACATTTATCAACAAAGGTGCGGAGCATCGCTTTCTACACGGAACAGCAGAACGTGAGAGCAACGATTGAAAAACGTTCACGAAGAAACTAAGTAATGTATTCATCCGAGGATCACGAGTAAGTAGTGCACTGAACAAATACATGTTGGAATTTTTTTTCTTTTTCTTGGAACTATCTGTGTCTTATCTACTTATATACAAACTAAATTCAAAGCTGAAAAACTAAATTTGACCCGTGATAATACAATTTGATATGGTGCGAACTAATTGAATATCAGTAAGATATGTATACATAAAATGCAGGCGTTAGATCGTAGGCTAAAGGTTAGATAACAATATACCGGAACCTTAATTCACATCAACGCGAATTTACGGATTTAGCACAAACGAAAATATCACAAAAATAAGCTTTATTTAATATTATAAAATTTCTTTCGAAATGCACCTTCTTCAGAGCTTGCTGTAGATAAACTGAAAGAAACAATATCGAATTAGTTTATCATCAGATAACAAAGTACTGTGCTATTTTTATGCCATGTGATTTACCCCTCTACATCAGTCTTTGTGTTCATACTCGATGTTGATGATGGCTAACCCTTGCTGAATTGTATAATAGTTTATTTATATTTATTCATATATTGAGTACTACTTTGTCTATTTGCAATAACTTCCATCTAATATTGCAGCTGAACTCTTGCTGATTTGAATTATTATTTATTTATACATATTCATATATTGAGTACTACTTTGTCTATTTGCAATAACTGCCATCTAATATTGAGGCTGAACTCTTGCTGATTTGAATAATAGCTTATTGGACACGTAGTGGACATAACGATCGTTTCAATATTATGTTGTTGTTGTTCTTGTTCTTGTTGTCCTTGTTGTTGTTCTTGTTCTTTGACACGTTTTTAAAAAGTCGTTTTTCTCTTCGAATACTGGACCAATTGCTTTGAAATTTTCAGTGGTTGAAGATAAAATTTTTCTCCAGAAGGCTATTACTTTTTTTTTCGCTATGACGTCATCAAAATTATTGCCATTGGGTGGCGCTACGTGTCCATATATTTGAGCATAGCTCTCTTGTTTATCCATATGCATATATTGAGCACTATTTGTGTATTTGCAATAACTGCCATCTAATATTGAGGCTAACCCTTGCTGAATTGTATAATAGTTTATTTATATTTATTCATATTTTGAGTACTACTTTGTCTATTTGCAATAACTGCCATCTAATATTGCAGCTGAACTCCTGCTGATTTGAATGATAGTTTATTTATCCATATTCATATATTGAGTACTACTTTGTCTATTTGCAATAACTGCCATCTAATATTGAGCCTGAACTCTTGCTGATTTGAATAATAGTTTATTTATCCATATTTATATTTTGAGTATTTGCAAAAACTGCCTTACCTTCACATCATTCATTCATCCATATTCTTTATATTGAGAAATATTTTGTGCATTTGTAAAAGCTTTCGTTTATTTGAGAGGCTGACCCTCGCTACTTCAAATAATGTTTATTTATCCAATTTTCCACTTATATATGAGGGCTACTTGTATATTTGCAAAAACTGCCTTTTATTTGTCAGGCTGATTTATTGCTGCTCAAAATAATAGTCATCGTTTACCTATTTAAATATTGGGTTCAAGTTTTTAATAGGCCACAGTTGTTGTCTTGTTTGAAAGGCTTACTAATAATAGTTATTCAACCTAAATTGTATTTATATATATGACTATCGATCGTATGTTTACCAAAATTGTTTCTTAATTGGGGTATATAATAATTTTTCAGTCACCTATTTGCCAAAAATTTTTCTTGTTACTTATCGATTTTAATCGGTAAGTATGTTGATAGGTATTTGTCTGCCTGTCTGTTAGATGCACGCAATATCTCACGAAAACGAGATCGAATCTGCTCCAGATTTTTCATGTGCATTCATCATATCTCGGACCAGAAGCCTATTGATTTTGGGCGAAGTATATCGTATAATTAGCGAGTTAATAATCAATAAGTGATGGGACACAAGTTGTCACTATGGAGTAAGAGCGCTTTTTGGGGGGATCCCCTGACTTTTGATCGATAAGTCCTCGGTCTCTGACCGATATTCTCGTTGGAAGGTTGATTCCTCTCTTGAAACAATTGTTTTACATGAGTACCATGTTGTTTATCTCCTGAAATTCATTCGTACATGTAAGGCTGGCTCCTTGCTGATTCGAACAATTGTTATGTGTCCAAATCTACATTGAGTATAGTAATCCAATAGCCAAAATTGTTTTTTTTAATTTGTGGGTCTTACTCCTCACTTTTAAATCTCATCATTTAAAAATTGATTTCACGGAAAAAAAATTATTTATTTTTATTTACTTCATTTTTTTGTTTGTTTTTTCAAATTTTGTGTCGTGAACTTCAACCATTTCTAATAATCTTATTTTACTGTGAATTTATCAGCGTAAACTTGGAGGGGGCTGACTTCGATGACCGCATGGTCGTATCGCTCCTTCCAGTCTACACCGAAAAAAGCGTACTTTTTTATAGCCATTATTTATTTATTATTATGACTGTTTTTTTCTGGTTGACGAAATAAATCTCTCTCTCTTTCTCTCTCTCTAATAATGCCTTGCCGAGTAACGTCCCTAATAGGCCTCGAGCCGAGGCCATTTATCTTTCAATTTCGTAGCGCACATAAGGTAACTACCTGAAAATGATTTTAAAATGTTCCTTAGAAGTTTAGTAACAAATATTGCCTTGTTCCCACTTCCAAAAGTTGCACGTTTTACGGAAAAGACGCTTTTTACTCCAATAAATATGTGTTACCACCGGTCCTATATTCTCTGTTTTTCGGTATCATGGGCCAATGAACGCAGACTTCTGCATGACGTAACAATCAAATTGGCCCATGGTAGGATGAATCAGATGTACTACTGCTCGCTTTTGCGTTGAGTAGCCTTTCCACAGTATTTTTCAGTTATTGGACACGTAGTGGACATAGCGATCTTTTCAATATTATGTTGTTGTTCTTGTTCTTTGACACGTTTTTAAAAAGTCGCTTTTCTCTTTGATTACTGGACCAATTGCTTTGAAACTTTCAGTGGTTAAAGATAAAAATTTTCTTCAGAAGGCTATTACTTTTATTTTTGCTATGACGTCATCACTAGGTGGACCTTCTTGTTCATATATTTGAGCATAGCTCTCTTGTTATTGGACACGTAGTGGACATAACGATCGTTTCAATATTATGTTGTTGTTCTTGTTCTTGTTCTTGTTCTTATTCTTGTTCTTTGACACGTTTTTAAAAAGTCTCTTTTCTCTTTGATTACTGGACTAATTGCTTTGAAATTTTCAGTGGTTGAAGATGAAATTTTTCTCCAGAAGGCTATTACTTTTATTTATTTCAAATATTTCTGTTAGCTCTGTAAGATTTGTTTTTTTTTGCTATGACGTCACTAACCGTTCTACGGGTATCGGACGCCATTTTGTGTCCAACGGATCATCTTGCAATTTCAATTCACGCTGTCACAAGACAGGACCTTATAAAGATAGAGAAGTTCTGGTACCGTAACACAGCGCGGTGACACTGAACTAACTCGTAGCTGTCAAAAGCTTGAAAATCCATACAAATATAAGAGATAAAAAGATGAAACTTGGCAGGTGGGTAGAGTTGTGTTTCTTTTAACCATATTTGAAGGTTTCGCGTTTCTACATTTGAAGGAGGGGGAATAGGGGGTGTGCATTTCCGATACGTCGATAATATCTTTGTCAACCAATTTGCGACCACCGTGTTTTCGTCTGTTTGATTGCTGTGATGTGGTGCTTTGTTTATAATTTAACGAGTTTTGTTCGAAATAACCGTGTTCTTGAAATATATGACGGTCAGAATGCAATTAGAAGCCTAATGTTTTCACGCTGTCACAAGACAGGAACTTCTAAAGATAGAGTAGTTCTGGTACCGTAACACAGCGCGGTGACACTGAACTAACTCGTAGCTGTCAAAAGCTTGAAAATCCATACAAATAAAAGAGATAAAAAGATGAAGCTTGGCAGGTGGGTAGAGTTGTGTTAACCATCTTTGATAGTTACTTCTCTCCC